CTCTTTAGTTAAGAATATTCTTCAGAACAGTAATTAAGTGGATGGCTTTCACATTCAAAATAAAAAAAAAAATGAGCCCTATAAACAAAACCATTCTGATCGTGGTATGACAGAATTTTTCCAAAGAGGATCCTCTCATGGGATTATCACTTTATATGGCACTGACAAGGCACTAGCAAATATTGAATCATATTATTTGAAATAAATGAAAATACCTTGTGGTTCCTTTAAGTTCTGGAAAGAGTCTCCATTGAGTTGTCATCACCATCCCTACATTTGTAATAGACTTTTTTCATAAGATGCATTTTCCATCAACTTTTTGAAGACCCTTCATATTTACAGCAAACAGTGCTGATTTTCCATTTATAGTAGTGAGGTATGGTTTCTTTTTAAAAGAACATTTAAGAAAAAAATAGTCTACTTAAAAAAAATCTTTAGTAATTAATAATACAGTTGTATGAAAATCATATGGAAAATAAAATTTTGGGAACTTTAGTATCTAACTTCAGAAGACAAATACATAATTACACAAAAACTAGAACTAAAGGTTATTTTAAAAAGTACTGAATTTACATTACTCTGTCTTCTCGAATAATACAACTATTATTACCATTTCTTGATAGCTTATTCTGTGTGTGGTGTTAATACTTTATATACAGGTAATCTCATTTAATTTCCAAAGCAAAGTAAATAAGTCAATTATACTGAGTGGATTGTAGTACCTTTCTTTTAATAAAGTTTAAAGGACTGGAACTTTCGATGCCAAATATTTCAAGGCAGGAGTCAGCAAGTGGCAGGTTCGTTAGGTGCTGGACGCCATGGTCAACCGCAGTTTGCGTCCCGGACCTGGTCACTTGCTTTTTCACTTTCCCACTTTCTTTCCCTGTCTCTCTCTGCTGAGCAAATTAAAAATAATAATAATAATAATAATAATGAAATTAAATAATTATTTAAAAGAAAATAAAAATATTTCAAGGTAAACTAAGGCAAAAATGATCCTTTCTAGTACACCAATAAATAATACAAAGTATATCTTCCCAAGATAAATGTTTTTGTTTCAGAAAATAAGTACACAAGGAGGAACAGTGGGGTGGAGAAAGGATCACGAAGTATTCAGAAACAACACAACCGTCTCAAAAAATTTCCCGTGTAAGTGAACAGGTTGAAACTTCCTTCTAAAATTTGCCTAAGATAGTCTTTGCATGGTACCATACATTTGGAAATCGCAGAAAACATTTTCAGAGAGTATTCTGGCATCATTACTATAGATTTATCTCCTTCTTGACAAAATTCCCTTTAAGGGCCTACCATTGAATTTTTAGTACTTGACTATTAAAATTTCTAGACCAAAAAAATCCATTACTTTCTAATTTACATTGAAATAGACAATACGGAAAACTTGTATGTTGAGGGGGAAAAAGCTGCAATGTCAAGCATACAAAAACCAACATGAGAACATTTGCTTTTCCTAGTTTTCATACACTTTTATTTAGACATGTTCTTGATAGCTAACATTCTTTCCTTCTTGAGGCACTGGGGCCAATCCTGCCTTACAAATGGATTCTTTGGAAAGGGGCAAAGTTAATTCCCAGTAGAGAAAGTTGAGGAACACCTCCATCCAAATCAAGCCCCTTCCAGAATATCTGTCACTGATGTGAAACAGCACACGAGAGCAGCTGAAAGCAGGTCATAGTTCTGACATTCCTACACCTAGACCCAAATTATCCCATTTACTCTCATCTTCCTGCAGTCACCCCTGCAGCTGCTCCAGTCCCTTTGACTGAGATCTGAAGAGGGAACCAAATCCCTGCATGGCTCGCCCCATCACAAACCAGCTGCCCAAATCCAGGGCAGCTTACTGGGTACTGCAGGTGTCAGCGTACAGAAGAGCTCCTTTACATCTTCAAATCTATCAAAATCTGTTTTTTCAAGATTCTTAAAATGGAAACAAATCAAAAACTCCCCTTCTCTATTTTGAATCTTTCTGCTTCCAACTCCAATCCATCGCTGTTCTGAGGTGTGGAGTATATCGACCTGCTACACTACATTGCTATGCCTACTGTCACCATGCTGGGACATTTTATTGTCATCATTGGGGCATGGTGACAAACACCAGAAATTCAGAAATCATATTCTCCAGTTTGATTCTATAAAATAAGCATTTTTATGGGCAACCCAATACTCTGGGTTGTATATGGATTAAAATAATATTCAAGTGTTTTTAAAAACTCTTTGCTCAATCACTTTCTTCTTCCTTATTTATTTTTTGTTTGTTTGCTAGAGGGTGCATGCTCACTGGAGAGAGAGAGAAAGTAAGTAAGTGAGAAAGCATTTCCTACGAGGGATAGTCATGCGGCAATCCCTTCACCTCCATTTTTCCTTTCAGGATTTTGGGCACACATGCATCTAGTGTGTTTTACCTTTTCTTTTTGAGAGATTTTTTTTTTTTTCATGGAAAGGTTTTTGCCATAGGGCACATGAGCTTGCCAGAAAGACAGAGAGAGAGAGAGACAGAAAGCGAGAAGTCAACCCCCAGGTGGGATGGCCATGCCACAATCCCTTCTCCTCCATTCTTGTCTCGGGATCTTAGGCACACATGCACACATGCCTGGTGTGAGTTTAAGTCACCGGGTCCAGGACTCAAATCGCAATCAACTACGTGGGAGTCCAGTGACATAGCCATTATGCCAAACTACTGGTCCAGAGAGATTTTTGCTATGGGGCATGTGCTCGCTGGAGAGACATAGAGATAGAAAGCAAGAAATCCTGCCCTCCCCCACCCCACCCCCCCCCACACACTGGGGGATGGCTATATCACAATCTCTTCTGCTCTATTCTCCTCTCAGGATCTTGGTCACACATACACACACACCCAGTGTGAGATTCAAGCCTCTGGGTTCAGGCCTCAAACCACAGTCGGCCATGTGGGAGTCCAGTGACATAACCATTATGCCATCTGCTGGTCCCCACCCAGTGTGTTTTCACTAGTCCCACCTAGTCTGGGACTCAGAACGTGTACTTAGTCATGTGCACACCACTGGCTGCCCTGCTTAAGCACTTTCTTCCTTCATCACTCAGAATGCTTCTATTTCCAGAAAAGCGTAAAATGGGAATCATATGACTTTGTTACTTTGCTCCAATACTGATGAATTCATGATTTTTCTCTCAGCTCTTCCTATCCTTCTTTTCTCACTCATGTGCTTTGACTTTAGTCATACACAATGATAGCAAAGTATCACAAACTGGGTGGTTTAAAACAAAACAATAGAAATTTATTCTCAAGGTTCTAGAGGCAGAGGCTGACACCAAGGTATCAAAAAGATCAGCCTCCTTCTGAAGGACTTAGGAAAAATATTTTCCTTGCCTCTTCCAGCTTCTGGTGTCCCTGGGTGTTCCTTTGCTTGTTTTTTTGCCTCCATCTTCACATACCTTCTGCTACGACTGTCTTCACATGCTCATCTCTAAGGAGACCAGTTTTAGGCTAGGTTTCACCCCAACCTCGTATGACCTTAACTGATTATATCTATTGAGACCCTATTTCCGAATCCACATTCTGAGGCTTGAGGTGGGCATGAATTTTGGAGGGACAGTATGTAAGCTAGGACAGATTCACTGGGCTGCTCTCATTGGGCGTGCTCCCGTGTATTGACTCAAACGCTAACGTGGTTAGTTGACTTTCTTCCACATAACATGGCATAAAGTGTCTGTCATAAAAACCTTTGCTAGTTCAAACTTACAGAAGAGGTCAGTTCAGCTTTCAGGAGCCTACCCTGAAGATACTGGCATACCTTCATGAAGGAGGATCAGTAAGGAATGGCCAAGAATCCGAATGTGTCTGTCACTGGATAGTACAAATAATTTACAATACTAGATTGAGCAAAATATCTCCCAAACTATTGCAATATGTAGTTTTTCCATTTCATATTACCAAGAATCACAGATACATATTTTAGAACTAAGTAGTAGCTTTGTGATAAAAATAACCTATCATTTTACAGATGAGATGAATCACTGAGAACGCATCATGTTCATTTGTTAATTTTGAGAAAGAACTAGTAGAACAAATGTTCCCCAATTCCTTGCTCAATGGTCAAATCAGACTGTTTATATTTATTAATATCAATGACTTTTATTGTGATTTTTTTTCCCCGTGACTATACTTTAGCTCTTGACTATCCTAGAGAACAACCTGTAATAATACTGCATTAATAGCATCCCAGCAAAAATACAGCCGGGATACTCTGTACAACATTTTCTTGCTCTGCTCTGAGAGGAGTCTGTGAACCTTTAGTGTTAGAAAAATGGTAAAGGTAAACTATATTGAGCTTTTCATAATGATATTATCCAGACTTCATCTAATTGTAACTATGGACACTATACGTGCAGCTAAGGCATGACAAAAACCAGTTTTGTATTGTAGATCTTGAACAGTATAATAAAGGTTTTCCACAGTAAACAGAACAAACCAAAAAATTACGCCTGCATCTTTATTTGTACACCACTGAATTTTCTTATTTATTCACTTTAATTCTGCATTTACACAAAAATGCTGTAATAAAATATCTGTACACTACTTCTGTTACAAATATAGATAATATTTAAAGTGACTTTATATATTCTAATGTAGGAGTTTCACGCTCTAAAATGGGAATGAACACATGATAATTCCTCACCAGTTGTCTCAATAAACAGCTCCATCTGTTTCCTTTAGTCTTAAACTATTGTATTATAAGATGTTAATATAAGGCAATGAAATGGAGTTATGTTAATCCCCTTAATTTTTCTATCAATTTACTAATGGCATAAAACCAAAATAATTACTAACACATTGCTTTTCTCTCTGTCACTAAGATTAATACTAATTGAAAACCAATTGCACAGCATACGAACGCATTTTTAGTGTTGCACTGGTTGTTAAAACCAGCACAAACAGATTCTAGGATCCTTCTACATTCCTCCATGGTTAGTGCAGTTGCTTTCTAGAAAAACCATAGTCAATATGGGGTAGCATCACTGTTTTACTTGGAGCAACATGAAACTATTTTATAACAGGTCAAAAAATGAAAAGGAACATCAAAATGTGCATTAACTATAATTCCTTTACAAAACTTTAAAGGTGTTGCTTCATATATTTGCCATTTATTCAGTCACAGAAGCCAATTTTAGCAGGAAAAATATATGCATATACCAGAGGTGGGAAGATTCCATTTTTTATGATATTGAGATTCGTTATCATGGAGAGTCCTCTTTAAGATTGTTAATAGGAAAAAAGTTGTTTTATTTCTCCTTTTTAGTATGAGGAGGAGTGAGGAGATGGATTGCCAAATTGAGGCATTATTATAAACAACCTGGGATTTTCTTCTTTATCTTGGATTTTCATTTTTCATTCCAACTGACTGAAGCCATTTCTCTTTGGTTAGCTTTAGAATTATTTTTCTTTGTCTACTTACCAACTTAGCACATATTAATTTTTTGTCAAGGTGACTATGAAACATTAGATACCTTCACAAAGAAAAGGCTTTATCTATGTAACTATCACTTTTCTCTTTGCGTTTCGGTGCACAAAGGGCAATGGGAAAAGAGAAGTGAAAGGCAGCTGTCAAAACGAAGATCACTCCCATATGGAAAAACGAGTTTCAGTGTTATTTTTCCTCGAGAATTCTGAGTACCCTGATGAACAAAGCACACGAAAAGTCATCCACAGGATTAGTTTTATGCTCTTTATGGTGGCAGGTAAGCCAGGGGTTGCTCGGCTCAACTCGGGCAGCCAGTTCAGGAGAGAACCATCAAAGTGACAGTGCCTTTTGTCCGTTTCAAAATGGCGACGGCTTCTTCATGGGTTACCCCTTCTAGACTCTGCCCGTTGACAGCAATGATCTGATCGCCCCTTTTGAGACGCCCATCTTCTGAGGCTGCTCCCTGCAATGATAAAGTAGGCTTGTTTGCTTCTCCAAAAATGCTGCCTCGCAGCTACACAACAGAAAAAGATCGAAACAGGAATGCAAATTGCTCTGCGTGTACACACATTGCTCCTGGTGCTCCACGGGTGCTCCACAGCCATTAAGCAGTGATGAACATACACAAAGGAGGCCTTTCTCCTAAATGGCTTTAGCACTGAGATTCCAATTTGAGAGAGAATTCAGCAGTCAATAGATTAGTTGGATGGTTTTTTGGCTGTTCAGCACAGCAGTTGGTGGGAACTCAAATTAATAAAGAATATTTGGGAATTTGCCTAGTAAGAATGATTTCATAGAATACAGGAGTTTCTGTCTTATAAAGCAGACTTACAGAAAGACAAAGGATTAGGTAGGAACAAAAGCCGTTTCACAGGATAGGGACATGAAGACTAAAAATCCCAAAGGTTTTCAGAAGCAGAACGCCCACATGCATGCTGACTAGGACACGAGAAGGCATGTATCCTGAATTTAAAACCCACTTCTTTAAAATCTTTCAGTGGCTTTCAAAAGCCTGTTCAAGGTTTCTTGGTTCTCACTTCATAAAGATAGAGGGATTCTTCTTTTTCCTTACCAGATAGTAGAAAAGAAGTAGCACAACTGTGCCCACATGGAAGGGCCCCAAGTTCGCATCCTGGGGCTTCCATGTGTTTGCTGGGTATGCAGCATGTACTCGTGATCTGGGCTGGCTGAAACTGGGGGTGGATTGCAGCATGAAGACCCTGTTGGGGACACCAGTCTATCTCTCCCTCTCTCTTTTCTCTCTCTTGGAAGAAATTGATAGAGTACTTTTTAAAAAAAATTAAACACTGATTTTACTGCTTATAAAAGAACTCCATCTAAAGGCATGCTTTTAGAAGACAATTATCCAATTAAATATAAGATTAAAAACATGGAAAACTTAATGAGGAATCCATAATGATGAAATTCTTAAAATATGCTCTAACTAGCATGCCTTAAATAAATTGTTCCCAGGCTGAGGAGAAGGGCTGTATGACTCTTCTACTCACTGGCAAATGCTGTTTGTATTTTTGGACATACCAATAGCTTTTCAAAAAATCTCATAAAGTAAGCTTGCTATAAGTACAGCACTTTAAATTGGTTAAAAATAATTCTTTTTCCAAAATAATAGAATGAAACCTTCATAAATTAAAGAAACATAGTACTAATCTGAAGTCTCTGTACCAAACTTTCAAACAAGTTTGACATTAAATTTTGCTACTTTACACTATAAAATTCTGAAATTCTGAATTGCCTATTGCAAAAATGTTTTCTGATTGTATAGCTCCTGAAAAAAATCTTAATATATTAACAATAATAATGAATTCAAAGTATTTTTAATAGCTTCACCAATGTAACAATGTATTTATTCTTATTCTAAACATTCTTAAGACAGAGCAGGTTACTTATACTATGATTACTATAATATAAAGTCTTTTCTTTACCTAAAATC